ATGACAGAATTTTCATTTTTGGGTGGACTGTCCCTTTAAGAGTTTTTGTAAATTGTTACATTATGAAACTTTAAAGTGACAGTTCGTACAAAAATCTAATTCGGTAATCTTTTTCTCACCCTCTTGTTTTTTCAAACCTCTATGAAATAACACAAGTGTGGAAGAGTATCACAAAAACTACAAAAGTGTTTTTTTACAAAAGTCTTCTGAAGCCGTTCTATAGCTTTTGAGGAACAAACTTTGTCATTATTCACTGAAATTGTTGACGTTCACATTGACTCACTTAGGTAGATTAGTTTGATCAGCTTTGTGAAATGAATCATGAATCTTTTAAATGAAATGAATCTTTTTAGTCAATTGGTTCATCCACTGCACAGAAATGGTCTGAATGATTAATTCACATATCAAACTGATAGTCTCAGTTCAGATTAACAGTGAATATCTAATAGAATTTCAGCCTGTTTAACACACAAAGCTATCATATGACTTCAGAAGATTTCAAATAAAGCCAGGAGTCATTTTAACCCATTTCTATTATACTTGTAAGATGCTTATGCTTCTTTTTGACACTTCCAATACCTTTTAATTGTAACTGCATAGAAATTAGAGACCTGTTGTTGAAAGTAACTAAATGATGACCAAATTATAATTTTTGGGGGTGAATTTTTACTTTTTGCTATGTTTTGTCATCTAACAGATCTGTTTTTTTTGTTTCGTAACAGAGAGCTGAAATATGTTATTCAGAGGTTTGCTGAAGATCCCAGACAAGAGGTGAGACAGGAAACTGCTGTTTGCAGAAAGGGTGTTGTTAGGCTTACAGTTTCAGTCGAATGCTTGCTTAATATTGACACTGTAGACTTAATAAACAATGCTTTGTTGAGCTTCAGCCATTGTGACTGTATATGCATGTGTTTGTCTCTCACAGGTCCACTCCTGTTTGCTCAGCGTACGCTCTGGAAAAGATGGGTGGTTCCAGCTCTACAGTCCAGGAGGCGTAGCTTGCGACGATGACGGAGAGCTGTTTGCTAGCATGGTATGAAAGTGTTTGTATGAAATACGAGATGTCTCATTTAGTTTAGTCTTTTGTCCTGCCACTATATCTACTTTTATGGTCTGATGTCGTTCGTCCTCACAGGTCCACATCCTCATGGGCTCCTGCTACAAGACGAAGAAATTTCTCCTGTCCCTGGCTGAAAATAAACTGGGACCCTGCATGCTCTTGGCCCTGCGGGGGAACCAGACCATGGTGGAGGTACATATGACTGACTGTTGCTTTGAGCCGGAATGTAGTGAGCTGCCCACCCAAGTAACATTTTTAGGCATCATGGATGGTTCAGCCCAAAGACTTTTCCAAAAGCCTTAGTTTTACTAGTCTCAGCCTTTAAGGGCATGTCCTCTGACCGCCCACAGTCTGTTCACTGACCATATGATGAATATTGCACACAAAATGGTAAGAGCAGACTGAAAATTTGCAGATTTTATCTGATTGGCAAGCATTATGCAACTTCCTGTGAAACCAAGTTGTGTTTACAAGGTACTATTGAATGCTTTTGAGGAAGAACTAATGACTAGACTAAAATAAAACTGAAATATCCACAAGCAGACTTGCATATTCCACTTTAAATCATCTGTATTTTTGTACAGACAGAAATTCTAAGTACATTTTCTGCCAAATATTTCCATTTTCTCGAAAACCATCTGCAGAAACTGTTTCTTTTTTTCCTCAGTCATTTATTGTTATAGCATGATAAATTTAAATTAAAATGACATACAAAACCAAACAATTTGTCTGAGTTGCCAGTTCTAGAAAAGAATAAACTGCGAAGTGGACCAGATAGAGGATAGTCTTGACCGTATGAATAATTTGGCAACCCTGGAATGCATTGTAATGATTCAAATTGAATTAAAATGTCATCCAATATTTTACCGTATCATCCAGTATTTGTATGCGCTATGTTTTTGTGTTTACTAAAGTAACACTTGTTAGCTTAGCAACACGCTAACGTCAAATTGCAACAGTGTTAGGATATGGTCATATGTAATGTTGTTTGGCAAATTTCTTTCGTGTTTTCTTTAAAATCACCTACAGAAACTGTTGCATTGTTTTTTTGTTTTTGCAGAGCTATCTATTGTAGTATGAACAGCTTTTAGTTAAACTCCCCCCTATATGTCACAAAAAATAAAATTAAAGGTAGCGTAATGTTGATTTTCGAATCTAAATTGGCAGTTCTAGACTAGAATAAACTCCAGATAGTCTATAATAGTCTATTTGTATCCTTTGTGGATTTAGAATTAGGATTTTATTTAATCCGATA